CCTAATGTAGTGTCTTGATATGTAAAAACAAAGACATAGAATGTTTACCAAGTGCCAGAGGAATTTCCAGCTTCATCCTATGAGGCATGTTCTATGTAGCCTTTTTTTTTTTCAGCATAGTAGCACCCTGTACCCAAAGAGGTGCTTTTTATATCCATCCACAGATATCCATTTAAATGGTTCTTCCCAGAAAAGCTGTCCGGGCTAATTCAGACCTCGGACTTGAACCTGGACTTGAATATGTTCAACATTCACCCTGAGATTCAGCCTCAGGCTTGGCCTCCTTGCTTTGGGGTGACTATCACATTTGGAGAGACCATGGCTTCAAAGGATTACTTTAGGCAGCGCACAGCCACCACCCGGACAAAGGCCAGACCACACTGCAGGCCTGTGGTTAGAGTCCTCAGTGTGTTGGGTCTACTCATTTTCACTCTCTGAATGTTGGTTCATTCTTTCAATAGGGAGTTATGATTTTTGTTCTGTTCTATTGTATAATTATTCATTACCTTTCAGAGCCTTTTGTTTTTCCTTGAATATAAAAGCAAAATTTGTCCTCAGCTCATTCTAAAAATCTCAGTTGTGTGCTATTTCTTGAGATTGTTTTCTCAGGATATCCCAGCTCTCTGAAGATGGTAATTCTGTTTTGATTCTCTTTATAATCAGATTTCCTTTTGAAGCACTCTTGAGTCCTGTTGAAACTCTCTGCTAGGTTATGTCTTTCCCTGAGGTTGGAGAGATGATTTTTATTTTGGCAAGCTTGTCACCATCCCATGCCGCATCCAAATCCCGAAGTCATAGAAGTTGTGAATTCTATTCTTTCTTCCATCATTTCATCTCAAGAGACTCAGCTGGATGAGCTCACTTTGCTCTCCCACACCCCACCATTTATCTCAAGGTAATTTAGATATGTGTTGGTTACAGGATGGGTAAGTAATGAAGGTTAAGTTTGTAGTAGTTTAATTTTCTGGTGGTACATTTTTCAGCTTTTTGGATTTATGTTGTTGCTGTGTTTTTCTATACTAAGTAATTATAAGACTTGCATGAGCCAAAATTACAAACAGTATGAACTGAGAACAGAAGCCTACTCTAAGACATATCTGCAGAATAGCAGGGATGTATGGCCGTGGGGTCCTGGAGGACTTGTAAAGAGCAAGGATTGGATTAAATCGATGTGAGAAATCCTGGCTGGAGTTTTCTAACCGTCCCCTTGTCTGTTGGAAATATTTTTAATTCAAAGCATTAAAGACATTTGAAACAGAGAGATAGCTTGGGCTGTTTCGTCAAAATAAGAATATTAAGTCAAGTCACTCCTTCAAAGCCACATGACGTGGAGGTCTCCCAGAAGTTGCATGGTGGCCTAAGGGAAATGAGCCAGAAGATTCCTCTGGGAGGAGTTGACCAAGGTCTGTGACAGGGAAACATTCATTATAGTGAGCAGTCTGGTTGTCAGCTGTGGCCCAGGGTGAAGATTGAATTGCCTCTAAGGCAAGTCCAGGCTAGTTTCTCATCTTAAAGAACGGCTGGGCATCCCAGAAGAGTGAGCAGGACTTCAGCATGACTGTGTCTCTGTGAGTAAAATACCAACGTAATTTAGCCTTCAGCTTGCCCTGCTCCAATCAATTTTCTTTACTACAGCTATAGTGATATTTTAAAAACAGAAATTGGATGGTGTCACTACCCTGATTAAAGTCTGAGTTCCTTCACATGGCCCACAAGGCCTGACGGGATCTGGCCTAAGCTTACCTTTCCAGATTCATTTCAGGTAGATGATGCTTCTTCTTGTAACTAAGTCTTCTCAGGCATTCTTCTCTGGAATGTTTTTTCTTTCCTGTTTATCTGTTTCACTTCTATCTCAGGTCTCAGATGAAGCACTGCTTCCTTAGAGAATCCTTCTCTGACCTCTTTGAGGAGGTCGAATCCCCTTGTTAAGAGATTTCCCATCCTTGGTGCAATGATGACAGGTTTTGCTCAGGGTCCTGCTAGGCTATGAGGTCCAGGATGTCATTGTATTCATCACACCAGGTCAGGGATTTGTAGGTGGCTGATTGGTGTTCTTTGAAATTCAGGAGTTCTCTTCCCTTCCTAATTTAATGGAGACAAAACTTTAGCCACTAGAATATCACCTCTGGATTTCCACCCTCATTCTCTCTCTTTTTTTCAAAATTGATTTTATTATTTTTTAAAAAATACATGACAACAGTGGAATGCATTACAATTCTTATTAGACATATAGAGCACAATTTTTTGTATCTTTGTATATAAAGTATGTTCACACCAATTTATGCCATTATACATGTACTTTGTTTTTTTTGCATTACAATTCTTAATGCACATATATACCACAATTTTTCATATCTCTGTATATAAGGCATGTTGACAACCAATTCAAGTCTTCATACATGTACTTTGTATAATGATGACCATCATATTCCACCATCTTGCTAATCCCCTGCCCCCTCCCTTTCCCTCCCACCCCTCTTCCCTATCTAGAATTAATCTAATCCTCCCATGCTCTCCCTCCCTACCCCATTATAAGTCACCCCCCTTATATCAGAGAAAACATTCATTTTACTCAGCATTAAAAAAGAACAAAATCATGGCATTTGCAGGTAAATGGATGGCATTGGACAGGATGATAATGCTAAGTGAAGTTAGTCAATCCCAAAAAACAAATGCCCACCCTCATTATCTACCTGGTAAATCCCTGTTTGTGTTCTAAGATCAAACTTCACAGTCCTTTTCTTTGAGATTCTTTTCACAGTTGTCCTCTGTGCTAGTCAAGGGAGTCTTGGTGGCTTAAACCAACCAGGACATCCATCTAAGTCATGCAGCATGGTCATCATGCTTATCTGGTGGCCTGCTTCTCATTCAGGGACCCAGGCTGAAAGAGTCTCCATCTCTGTGCTTCCACGAAACAAGACACTGTGGTAAGCCATAAGCTGGCTCTATCTTTTCTCCTAGAAATGATGCACTTTCATTCATATTTTATGATCAGACATACAGCCAGGTTTAAATGAGAAGAGGGTGGGGAAGTACAGTGGTACTATGTGTGAAGAAGTAGGAAAACTGGTAATATTTGATGCTATGCCACCCAACATTTTCCAATACATGTCTTCCCTTGGTGTTCTCAACTTGTCACTTTCATGAATTCATTCCTCCACACTCCTTTAATCATACCAAAGACCTTATAATCAACAATAGTAATATCACTTTTAGAATCTTAATGTGAAGCACATTACTCTACTAAGAAGCAACTCTGAGATGGAGACCGGAACACAGAAAGCTGGTGACTGCCTGAGTTATTTCATTAATTTCTAGTGTTTTGTTCTTATAATATGGTTATGGGAATCTTGTTAACTGTGGGTCTTCTCCTTGGACCTCAATTACCCAGCAATAACTTTTATTTATAGGCTGACAGGTCTTTAGCACAAAAAAGAATATGATGTTATTCTAGGGTGTTTTACTAGGAAATAAATCAACCTACTTTTCTTTAAAAAATAAGTAGAAAAATGGGTTTTCTAGTGACTCAGAGTAGCCATATTTATTCTTGGCTTCTGCACATTAAGGGCTTTAGGATATCAGTGATTATCTTAATGGAAACACTGTGTTTAACTAGTTACCATTTTCAAGGTGATGTCATGAAATAAATCTTGATGAATAAGAGGTCAACTTCTGAGTTCAAATCCCAGGTCCAGTATGTTTCAATGGGATGACTTTTTGTCAGAGATTTAACTTCTCTGAATCTGTTGTCTAGACTTTTTATTTATTTATTTTTACTGGGGATTGAACCCAGGGGCACTTAACCACTGAGCCACATCCCTAGTCCTTTTTAATATTTTATCTAGAGACAGGGTCTTTCTGAGTTGCTTAGGGCCTTGGTAAATTGTTGAGTCTAGTTTTGAAATCCAGTGCTCCTTTTTTCAGTCTCCTCAGCCACTGGGATTACAGGCATGTGCCTCTGTGCCTCGACTTTAAAATGGGGGGAGTATTTGTACTTTGTTCTTGAACTGCATATGAATCAAATTAGGTAATTCCTTTAAAGATACAAAGCATTTTGTCTGCCTCACTGGATTTTAAGCATTAAGTTCAGAACTGACTCTTAGGACAAAGTGATGAGGTATTGGGGGCTTGGACTAGTTAAATGCAAGTCATTAGCCACTAACAATCAGAACCAGAGCTAGAGACCATATTTTCTATCTTGGATTCACATGCTGCACTCAAATCCCTTCCTCTCTCACACCATCAACTATAAGCAGCTTGAGTAAGATGAACATAAATCAATTTTTAAAAACACAATCTATACAAGAGGCCAAACTCTGTACTTATGGGTAGAGGTTATTTTAATCCACACCATGATCTTTTATGAGAAAGCAGAAGATGATCTGACCTCCCTTCCAAAGAGAACAATATATTTTGTTGAATCAGCCCATTATTCTATCACATGAGAGAGATCTCCAGGTCAAGGGATGAAAGACATTAATTTGCATGAGAAACAGCTGCTGTCCGTATCCACAGTACAACACAAGAGAAACTGGCTACAGCATCATTTTGTAACAGAAGGATTAAAGCATGTCTTAGTAAGACACATAGCAGAGAGCAGCCGGATTCCCTTGATCTCTCTGATAAAAGCTGTACCGTGTACCATGGATGCCCAATAAATATTAATTGGTATCAACTTCATGGGCACAGAACTCCTTGAGTTTGGACGTTTAAATTGAGCATCCTCCTTGGTGGGAAATTAATAATTGATTCTGTCTTCATACTTCCAGGGTTCTTAACTCTTCTGTCTCACCATGTGTCTTTTTACGAAATACTTTCAGCTTAGGACAGGATCTCATGTCTCAGCTGAATTTGCACTTAAGTTTTTGTGTTTAATACATCTTGCTTTTCCTCCTGACTTCATTGGACATTCACCTTTTGTAACTTTATTGTAAGATGATTACACTCTGGTTCAATTATTTGACTAACCATGATATTGCTTCTTTTTTTTTCCCCATCAGATATTGATGAATGTGCAGCTAAGATGCATTATTGTCATGCCAATACTGTGTGTGTCAACCTGCCGGGGTTATATCGCTGTGACTGTGTCCCAGGATACATTCGTGTGGATGACTTTTCTTGTACAGGTGAGAATTAAGAAGCATTTCCCCCTAATTTATCCCTTCTTTACACCATATTTGTGTTGCATTTAGCTCCTGGTGCACAAAGTATTGTTTTCCTTAAATAATTTGCTTTCATTATTTCACCCTCGCCTTTTTGAGAAAAATATAATAATAACAGAAATTTTATCTGCATGATTTATTTCCACTCCCAGTATTTCTGCCTGTTTGTGTGAGTACACTTGCATGGGAATGTTATTTGGAATTGGAATTGAAGTCCTAATTGCCTTTGGTAATACTGAAGTACTTAAAGGTATCAGTGCTAAAAATAGAAACTATCAAACCATTTTCTTTCCATCACAAGGAGAACTATTTTTTTATATTAAGAACATGTACTTTGGGAAAGATAAGTATTAAATTGGAAAGGGTGGCAGGAGTATCTCATGGTCCAGGGAATAGACATGGGAACCAGTCAAGGTTATATTTGCTTATTTTCAGTGTCCCATCTCTTCTCACTATGTCCCTGTGGCTGGCACTAACTGTAATGCCAAAGACAGTCACTGTCTCTGTGTGAGTTGTGCTGGCTTTGTGGAGTACCTGGTTTATAGTTGCAAAGTATTTTTTAATTATGTATCTGCAGGTATCAACCTTACATTGATTTGGGCTATTAAAAGATTCCAGTCTTTATTCTCTTGGATTAAATGAATTCAAATGCCCAACTGCCACCTATACACATAAAGGACTTCTTGAACTCATGGTTTCAGTCATGTTGTACCTTTTCCTAACTTCTGCATCTTTCTTTCTGTCCTAATGATATTGGCATATAAAAATTACATTCTTTAATCATAAAGTAATGCCACTTTTCTTAATTTTTCTAAATGAGCTTTACAGAAGTGCAGAAAGTTACAAAAATTATGGAAACACATATGTCTAAATTCCTTTGTCATTGATTGTATGTTTACAAGTTGTTCTTCTCCAGGTGAAGGGAATGGAGAGCTCAGATTGATAAAGGTTTCTGAGGGTACATAAACCAAATGCAATTTAACAGTCTTATACATAGCATAATTAAAAATTCCTAGGAAAACATGAAAGGTTTTATAAACTTAGCATGCTGAGATCTAATTTTTTTTAAAGGTTTAAAGTTCTTTTGGACCTCTAAACAAACATGATGTAAAAACCTCAGATGTTATAGGTGACTATCACTCTATTCTTAATAGTATACAGAGCTCGTAACTTATTTTAACCATAAGATTAGAAGAAGCCAGTGCGTCTCCTCCAGACACAACAGCTCATAACTAAGGAAACCTTAAGGACAACCCTATTGTATGGAGGGCCTTGTTGAAATTATATCAGAACGTCGCTTCTGCTCTTAAGTTTTCATTGAGGAAGGGGGAAGCAAGTTGTTACTTGCTAAATTCCTATTAAAGTCAGATGTTCTGCCTGGTAGTTTGTATATGGAATGAGATGGAAAATGTACTATCTTAGGAAATGGCTCCAGAATTTCTTATGTAAAGTGAACTATGTTTTTTGGAATAAAAGGCAAAAGTGCACCCATCCTCATACACACAAAAATGTAAATGACCCTGAAGGGGAAAAAAGTCTATGTTATAAACATATACTTTTGTTTTGTTGTGTATGTGTGCATGTGTATTTTGCCTGAGAGGGAATAGCAAAGTTAGAAATTGCAGAAGAAATAAAATTAGATAGAGAGGAGAGGAAGGAATCAGAAGGAGAAAGCAGGCTGCTATGGGAGGAGAGATGGAAGGTTTTTAAAACAGCAGCAATGTTTCATGTGTGGCTTATCCACTATTTGCTATACAAAATGCTGTGTTAATCTTCCTCATGACCCTGAAATCCTCAGCAAGTCCACCTTCCCCTACTGCTGGGTAGCACTGCCCCCAACACTAGGACACATGTTCACCTGGTAGACAACAGAAATGGCACCTGTCACGCAGGATGTTGGGATGGAGGAGGCAGAGGAGCCATCATAGTGGGACCGTCTCTGTCCCTCCTGATGCCCCTTGACTCCCACTGCCACACACTTACTTAACCATACTGCATATCTTTTGTCACTGCCTCTTTTCAGGAATTTCATAAATTATAATGGGGACTTTGGACTTCCTCGGGTCATACAGCAGAGAAGATCTTCTTCATCCCAAAGCACTCCTTGGATTCCAGGTTCCTTCCAAGCGACTCACTGCTACATTTTTTTCTGCTTCTCTGCACAGCAGGAATTAATCTGTCTGTGGGTGTCATCCTCATTTGCCTTCACTCACCTTATACTTCCACCCTGACCTTACAAAGAGACCGTATTTGTCAGGGTCCTCAAGAAGTTCCTTTTGCTAAATCTAATGTTCTCATCTCAGAAGCAGTTGGCACAGCATTTAACACACTTTCTTCTTTGAAACACATTCTTCTCTTGGCTTCTGTGAGGTCCTGTTTCTAACTTTTCTTTCTGTCTCACTGGCCACTCCTGCCTAGTGTTTCTGGATCAGCACTATTTTCTCTGCTGACCTTTGAAAGGTTTAGGGTGCCATAGGTCTCTGTCCTCGTCCCATTCATTTATATATATATATATATATATATATATATATATATATATATATATATATATATATAATTATTATTATTATTTTCGATGCCTTCATCAACTTTACGACTCTAACTGCATCTCAATATCAGTAACTACTAATTTCTATCTCCAGTTAACATCTTCATACTGAGCTTCTGAATCATATATTCAACTTGACATCAAAGGATAGACGTTTAAGAATGCATTTTATACTTAACATGTATAAGACAAAACCCTTAATTTCCTTCCACTTCTGCAAACCTCCTCCTCTTCCAATTTTTCCCATCTCAGCAAATCAAAGTACCATATGTGCAGATTTTCAAGATACAAAACAGGGTTATATTGGTTCCATTTCCTCCCTAGGGGCGATAGTTGATTACCCTTCCACTTTAAAGCAATTCACCAGTCTTATTAACTCTACCCTTCATACTATGTCCCTGGTCTGTCCACATCCTATATTACCATCCTAGTAGACTTTTCCAGTGGCTACCAAGCTTGCTCCTCTGTAATGCATTCTTCACATATCAACCAGAGCAAATTTTTAAAAAACAGAAGTTATACAAATATGCTTAAAACACTCATGTATATTTCATTAGATAGAAAATCAAATCCGTACCTCTTATTTTGATGTATAACCCTGTGTGATTCTTCTCTCTTCCTGTCCAGTTTCATCTTATATCATTTCCCTCCTTGCCATTTATGACATGACCCTTGTCTTCTCCATTAAATAAGCTTGTTTCTGCATTAGTTCCTATGTATGAACTGTTGCCCCTGATTTAATGTCTTTTTAGCATGATATCAGAATAGGAGATTTTTTTTGTCATTTAGATCTCAGCCTAAAAATGATCAACTCAAAAAGGCTTTTGTCAATCAATATAAGTATTTTTTCTGTCATAACACCTGATTTCAATTCTCTCCATGTTACTTATCACTATATAAAGTGTTTTTATTTTTAATTTATAAGTGATTTTTTATTTGTCCCTTCCTATTAGAATGTAAACTCAGAGCAGGGACCATTTTCATTTTGTTTCCTATTGTATCTTGACTATTTAGGACATTGCTTGGCACAGAACAGTATCCAGTTAATATTAGTTGAGTGAAAGAATGAATAAACCTAATTGACCTTTGACAAACTCGTTTGTAAAATATTTCTCATACATGTCATACCTACAGGTCCTTGTGAACTTCACTGGTATGATACATGTGAAAATATTTAACATGGTGCTTACATCAGCCAGCATAAGATGTTTTATAGTAATAGACAAGCCTCAATAAGAGTGACTTAAAATAAAGTTTTATTTCTTATGCTATTTGTCTACCACTGATCAACAGAGGTGTTCTGTTTATAATTACTATGGAATACCGTCTAATGGATTAGTCAGTATGGTGAACATTGCCAGTCACTAAGACAGGGAAAAGAGAGCCTGGAGGGTCCTCCACCAGCCATTGCATGTTCTGCCCAGGGAGTGACACATATTTCCCTGACTGGTCACTAGTCCCATTTACCCACACAGGAATGAGGAAATGCAGCTGTACCACCTGTTTTGGTGGAGAACCAGAAGTAGTAGATGAGAGGTGCTAATGAATGTCATGACTGATACTGCACAGATCCTCAAGAAAGGAAGTTCTTTTGACGTGCAAAGCTGCGGGTCAATCTTCTGTCAATATCAATTTGGCAATATGATAGGGAATGTAGATTAAAAATAATCACAATACTAAGCATGGTGTATTAAGTACTATGATGGAAGAATAAACAAAATTCAGTAAGAAAAGGATCCTTGATTGCAAAGATGGGGTATTTGGAATTTATGTATGTTTATTCTTGAAAGTCAAGAGAAGTTATTGGAATTTACTGGAGCTTATTGGCAGGTAATGTCTGTATTGGGTTAGAATTTACAATGGGGGTATGGATAGAAGAGAATAGTGCAAATGATGAGCTTTCTTCCAGGACATCATTTTTCCTCTTAGACCCAATTCAAGGAACTCCATTAGACACTTATATATAATAATATAAGTATATAGTAATATACTTGAGTCTCTGGAATCCTCACATTAACTTTGGTATTACTTTAATCAATTTTTTTTCCTGCTATAACTAAAATACCCAACAAAAAACATTTGAGAGGAGGAAAAATTAATTTGGAGCTCACAGTTTCAGAGGTGTCTACCTGTAGATAGCTGGCTCCGTTGCTCTGGGCCTAAGGTGGGGTAGAACATCATGGCAGAAGGGTGTGGTGGAAGAGAGCAGCTCAGGTCATGGCACCAGAAAGCAGAAAGCTCCCCTCACCATGGACAAAATACAAACCCCAAAGGTATACTCCCAGTGACCCAACTTATCCAGCCACATCCTACCTGCGTATAGTTACCATCTAGTTAATCCCTATCAGAGGATTAATGCATGGATTAGGTTAATGTTCTCATGACCCAATCGTTTCACCTCTAAACTTCCTTGTAT